GTGTAAATGTGAACTCTGCACACCAAAGATGTCAAATAAGATTGGGAAACATTGGGTTAAACAAAACTAAGCAGCCCTCTTCCCCACAAGCCTTTTTAGAGCCTTAATACACATAATGTGCTTTGTGAATATTCAGTAGGGATATTTAGAACCCAGCATTTCCAAATTTATTTGAATACAGAACTTAAGAAAAATAAGGATGACGTCTTCCTGTTCTCCTCTTTTTGAAGAAGCATCTTATGAGTCTTGTTGTCACTTTGGGAAACATCACTTTAATAACTGGAATTTGGTTTTGTTTATCTTTATTATTCATTTTAGTAAATCGTTATTCTTGGTTTATGTCTAAGATGCCTGTAGTCTTTCTAAGTCTTCTTTTCCTCCCCTGCAATATGCTTGAACTCACTAATTTGTCCCGTGGTTGAGATGCGCCTGAAGTCATCCAAATTACACTGGGTTTCTTGGGTAAAGAAGAGAATTCTATATAATTAATGTGAAATTTCAGGGATTGAATGAATGGAAGTTAAAGATTGAAGCTTCATGTGATTCACATTTTCCTACAGCTTTAAAAAATATGCTATTTAGGAGGAGGAATGAAGTCAACTTAATGGGTCAGTAGTTGAGGAATTGTAAGCTTACTGTGAAGACAGCATCACAGTGGATGTTAGAAAATATGGGTTCTACCTCTGTCTTCACCATTTACCTGCTGCTTAATTTTGAAACAGGTTACTTAGCTTCCCTTCAGTTTTACCATCTGTAAAATTCAGGGATTGGGTTTAGGTGATCATTATGGGTTTATTCACTTTAAGATTCTGAGTTATTATTAATGTGCTTAATGGAATTAATGAAGATTGTGGACCTAATGTAAAACATATTGTTCTACTCTGCAAGTTTTCACGTGTGAATATAATATATTACCTGTCCCAGTTCAGCCCTTTTGGGGAATGAAATTATTCAATAATTAGCTCAGAGTCAGTCCCATGTATTTAAAAACTTATTGGATTGAGACTGCTGTCTTCATTGGTTGACTTGTTATTTACCCTCCAGGAAAGCACTTGGTTACGTCACGGATCAGCTAATACAGTGCTATGGATCAGTCTACCCCTTGCATTTGTTTTACTGATATGGTGGAGAAATCTGTGATGTGGACATCAGCCATCCTTATCCTCGAATACAGTGTTCCTTTGGTGATTTTGCTGTGCTTTGTGTGCAGTGCTTTGTGAGCACTTCCTGCCTATTAACAGATTTCTGAGCTCAGCATAGTAGAGGTCTAAATTCAGTGAATTTATGCCATCTGGAAATGAGCTTTAAATTTTGTTCCTCTGTTGAAATTAGGGATGTGACATAGCCATTATGCACACAGAAGGATCGTGAGCGTGAGTTTGATTTTACTGTGTGGATGTAGAATGTTTTGTTAGAGGGAAAGCACTTGCCTGGGGAGAGATTTGAGTATGACTGAGTTGCAAACTGCCAACTTCCTCCCACGTTTAGTAGGAGACATATTTTGTTTTTAAATGAGATGCCAACCATGAGAATTATTAAGACCCAGTGAATTTTAAGAGAGTTCCTTCAGTTTAGCTGAGTTGCGTTTAACGTTGCTTTCGATGTCATTCTGTGCGTTACTGTCAAAGGACTTGGCTTCCTTTGAAGTGGTGAAGCGTTGCTGCTGGTGAAATCATGATGGTAAAATGTAAGAGTGGCTCTCAGTGAAACCCTTATTGATACACATCCATGCCTTATTACCCAAGTAAAAGCGTGTGTCTGTGTGTGTGTGTGCGTGTGCGTGTGTGCATATGTGCGTGTGTAAGGGGAGGATATGCGATAATGAACACGAAGATGAGAGAAGTATTTCTCGTGAATTAGGGATGACCTTTCTTAATTCACGAGTTGCAAAATGAGGAAAGGCTTGAAGGCTGGAAATCACCTGCAAAGTGTGTCTGGAAGCAGTCTGTAATTCCTAAGAGGCAGCTGAAGAGCTGGTATCTCTCCAGTACATGATAGTAAAACTGTGTGGGATTGTGGAAGAAGTAGAATTCTGTTACTTGCAAAACCTCTTGCGATTAAATGCCTAGAGATTTGATTATGACGTTTTACTGCTGGGTTCCAGGTGCTTAATAAACGATTAATTGATTGAAGTGAAGAAGTCGGATTTGAGGGTACCAAGGAAATTTTAATATGAAGAATGAGTTTGTTTGCATGTGAAATGTTACCCTTTTCATAGCCTACTCTTCTTGTGCCCTGCCACTGCCACCAGCATGCCCAGCTTTGAAGATTTAGGTCACACTGCCCTCTCACCCTCCATGTTTTTTTTCTTTTCATGAAACATTTGCTAAAAGAAAAGATACTACATTCCAGGCCTTTGTAGCCATATAAATAAAACCAAAACAAAACAGAAAACCCGAAACACAACAAAAACCACAAAAACTTTTCTACAGTACCTTCTGGGGGAGTCATTTTAAAAAAAAAATTTCTTTTATTGTACTTTAAATGAAGGTTTACAGAACAAATAGTTTCTCATTAAACGGTCAGTACACATATTGTTTTATGACATTGGTTAACCCCACAACATGTCAATACTCTCCCTTCTTGACCTTGGAGGACCTTTTTTTTTTGGTGAAAATATACA